GTCGTCCTCATCGTCGTCACCATCATCATCACTCATCATCGTCACCAGCATCGCCATTATCATCACCAACAACACCAACCAGCATCATCATCATCATCATCAGCATCATCATCATCATCATGAGCAGCATCAGCATCATCAACATCATCATCAGACTCGGTGTCATAATCGCCATCGTCATGATCATCCTTATCATCATCATCATCATCATCATCATCATCATCATCATCATCATCATCATCATCATAATCATAATCATAATCATCATCGTAATATAATGATGATCAGAATCATCATTATCATCATCATAATCATCATCACAATCACCATCAACAGCATGATCATCACATTCAGCATCTTCTGCATCATCAGTACCATCGTCATCATCATCGTCATCAGCATCATCATTACCATCACAACCATCATCATCATCAACGCCGTCATCAGCGACACCAGCATCCACATTAACATCCGATAGTCGCCAACGGTAGTATCGCCATTGCTATCATCATCGGCATAATCACACTCCTCGTCATCACCATCATCGTGGTCAGCATTATACTCAGCATCATCATACCATCACCATTATCAAGATCGTTGTCGTCGGAATCGTCATCATCGTCCTCTCTATCGCCATCGATATCTTCATTGTCATCATCATCGTCATCACCGTTACCTTCGACATCATACTCCACATCATCGTCATCAAAATCGTCATCATCGCTGTCATCATTACATTCCTCCAGCCAGCTCCTCCGACTCATCGTGCAGCTCCTCGTGCAGCTCCTCATCGTCCTCGTCATCTGCCTCTTCGAGCTTCTCCTCTTCCTCCTCTTTCGTGATTCCAGCCTCGTGAGTGGTGTTCGATCCACCCGGGTGCGGCACAGGCGAGGGCGCAGGTACATGCTGCGCGTGTGCGACTACCGGCAGCAGCAAGGAGCAGTTCCACGGCGTCCGCCAGTGCAGCAGGTCGTTGGGGTCCACCTCGCCAGCGACGCAGCTGCAAGCGTCTTCTCTTGATCAGCGCCCTCCTCCTCCTCCTCCTCCTCCTCCTCTTCCTCCTCCTTCTTCTCCTCCTCCTCCTCCTCTTCCTCCTCCTCCTCCTCCTGCCTGACGCTCTCTGCAAAGCGTCCACAGCGAGCACAGACGAGGACGCCTTGCCAGAGACGTACAGAAAGTCTTCGGAGGGCCGCGCGCACTCCTCGGCTCGGCACTGGCGCCGTCCCCGGGCGCGCTCCGCGTGCCGGGGAGTACGGTGCAGCGCGGAGCGTGTTCTCTTCGAGGGCACCAGGAAGCACGAGGAGGAGGAGGAGGAGGAGGAGGAGCACGAGCAGAAAGGACGAGGAAGGGGATCAGGAGCAGCAGAGAGCAAAAGGAGCGGCATGAAGCATCAGGGTCAGGATCACGCCATCCCCCCCCCACCCCTCACCGAATACCTCCCTCATCTCTCCATCTCCCCTCGATGCCGCCCTGGCCCCCCTTTCCCACCCTCGCAAATCACTCTTCTCACACTCGCTTCATGTCGCTTCGGCGGCATGATGAGACACCAAGAAGCGGTGCAGATACGTTGGCTGAGGCAGGTGATGGCGGTGGAATCGCTGAGAATTGAGAAACACACCCGCTCGCAAAGGGACAAGGCACGAGCCAAGTCTAGCGTATCCCTGGATGCCCCAACTAGCCCCCCGCTCAATTTCTGCAGCGGGCACGTGGCGCGAGAGGAGTGGTCTCGTCTCCTGAGGAGCGTGGCGGGTTCCTGGCAAGGAAGGGGCCTTCTGGAAAGCCATCCGGGCTTCTGCGAAACCTTGTCAGTAGCTCCGAAGCCCTTCTGAAAAAGCCGCTTCCTTCTAGGAAGCACCCCCGCCTTCTGCAGGGGGCCCACAAAAACGGCATGAACAAACTTCGTCGGAGGTCCGCGCGGAGGCACACAAATTCGCCGGCCCAACGGGCCAGGGCGTGCTAAGATCTCCGGTACCTGTTTAACAGTATTTCTAGTTCGCGCGCGCGGGGCGGCCCCTGGGGGTCCCCGGACGAAAAGTACCCCGGCAAGTTCCCGGCAAGTCCCCAGCAAGTCCCCGGCAAGTCCCCGGCAAGGTCCCGGCAAGGTCGGGTCAGAGATGCCGGAGTTCTGTTTCGGAGTCCAAGAGGGCTCCAGATCGGTCCAAGAGGGCCCCGAGAAGCTTTCTAGACGGTCCAAGAGAGGCCCGAGACGGCCAAAGATCGCCCGAAGACGCCCCAGATGGCCCCAAGACAGCCCAAGAGGCCTCCAAGACGCTCCAAGGGCCTTCCAAGAGGCCTCCGAAGAGGGCCCCAAGTTGCCAAAATCGTTGATTTTCATTGGTTTTTTCGATGTTTTTTTGCGTTCTGGCCTTTTCGCTTCCGGACGCTCCAAGAGGGCCCAAGAGGCCTTCAAGACTGCTCCAAGACGGCCCACGAGGCTCCCAAGACGGCCCCGGAGCGGCCCAAGAGCGCCCCCCAGACGGCCCAAGTGCTGCCCAAGGCGGACCAAGAGGCCCCAAGACGGGCCCAAGAGGGGCTCAAGAAGGGAACCGAGAACTGAAAAATCGAGCCCTCCGCCCCAGAAGGCGCCCAGGACCCCGAAAGAGGCCCCAAGAGACTCTCCAAGACACCCCCAAGACGCCCCAATAAGCTCCCGTGAGGCCCCAAGAGGACCAACAACGTCAGGCCCCAGGCCCCAAGAGGACCAACAAATACCGCCAAGAGCCCGCCGAAAGCCCCCCAAGAGACCGTCACGAGAGCTCAGGAGGCCCCCTGGAGGCCTCCCGAGTTCTCCAAGAGGCCTCAAAAGAGGCGCCAAGAGGCCCCAAACGGCCCCACCGAGGCTCCAAGAGGCCACGAACGCGCAAGCAAACGCCTGCGATGGCACAATACGGGCCGGCGGAATGAGCGAAGCGATTAAATAAACAGACACAAGGCCTAAAATTTCCAATATTTCCGCGTTCCCATATTCTCCCACATTTTTCGGGGAGGCGCCGATTACGGTGGGGGCGTTGGTTAAGGAATGTGCCCAGGAGGCTTCAGACCCTGGGGGGTCCTCATCTAATAAGGGCGGCGGCGATATCCATGGCCAATCCATGATCGAAGTTCCCCTGGCTTCGAGACCCTGGATTCCTCATCCACTGGTTCCTTGTCCAATGCCCTCACCGTAATTGTGTCTGTGTTATTTTTTCCCTCCTGAATGTCTTGGAACCGCGTCCGGACCCCCCTCCACGGCGCGCGGAGCACGCCAGGGGCGGCGCCGGAGGCGCCGCCAAGGGCCCAGCGCCCATCCAAGGCATCCGCGCGGGCCTCCAGGAAATGATGTCTATGCCGGCTCTCGACCCCAAGAAGCAATTGCATCGAACGAGATGGGTACGAAAAGAATGGGCACGATGCCCAACAGCAGTTCTTGTCCATTTTGAACCGGACTCGCTGTCCGCGCCGCCGCGGCCTGTTCATTTGAGACAACAGGCCGCCTGCCCAACAGCAGCTGCTGTTGGCTTGGGACAACATTTGTTGCTGGGCGTTGTGCACATTGTTTCCGTACCCATGTCGGGCGTCCAAAAGCAAAGAGGCGGGGCGGCCAATTCGAAGGGAGGGGCCTTCTTCCAAGGGTTTGGGGGGCTGCTGGCAAGGCTTGGTAGCAGGCCGCAGGGCCTCTAAGACCCCTCGCTGCGACTCGGAGAAGCCCCCCCCGCCCTCTTAGCATCAGGTCGGGCATGTCTTCCTACAGGCGGATCTTGGGCGACAGATGCTCAAATCGAATCAAAAATAGTGACAACAAAACGGGGCCGCACTATTCCTTAACTATCTTTGCATCGTCCCCCCGTGGAAGGGAAGGCCCGACTTCATCTTCGCAGGCCGCCCCTCGCTGGCCCGCTCCCCGAAACCTCGAGGGCGAGAGAAGCTCGGCGGCCACGCCCTCGGGCGCCCGAAGCGCCCCGGGGCGGGGCCCGAGGCTGCGCCCGCGCCCCCGCGGGCGCAGCCCCCCCCCCTTTCCAGCGCGGCGCCCGACCCGCGCGCGGGGCCTGAGCGCCAGGGCGCCGCGGGAAGCGCCAGGACGAAGAGGCAAGGCAGGGTGAGGCGCTCGGGGAGGCGGGTCCGAGCGGCCGAGCACCGAGCGGGGAGTCTCGGTCCTCGGCCCGCTGCCGCCGCGCGGGGGGGGGCAGCCCCTGACAGGAGGGGGAGGAGGGGGAGGGGGAGGAGGAGGACCCTTCGGCCCCCTCGGTGGGCGAAGGCTCCCGTGGCTTGACTGTGCATCGGGCTGGCGGGAGTTCCCCAAGAGCAGGGAACAGGCCATTGAGCCACCCGCCCTGGCGCGTGTGGCCGCACCAACCGCGGCCACCGCCGCTGGATAGCGCAAGCCTCCCCACGCCCAGTGGAAATCCCCCTTCTGACCCCCGCAGTCCCCCCCTGTGGCGGGACTGGGGGTCGGGGTGGTGAGGTTCCTATGCGCTGAGGTCAGGCGCTTGCGCCATCCACTCGGGCGGAGAGGTGCTGCCGCCGCCTCTGACGAATGCCATGGAAAGGGCCACGGCTGCCGCACAACCTTTTCGCCGTACACTTCCACACTGCTAGCCGCCGCGTCGCCACCTCTTCCCCTTTTCCTCCTCGATGTATTGTATGTGTGTTCCTCGCCTCCTCATCTACGGATGACTTTGTACCAATGTGTTCCTCCCCACAGCTGGCGAACCATCACCAGGCTCACTGGTTTGATCAACCCCCCAGGGCCGACCGACCCTGGAGCGGGGGATGGCCGCGTCTGAACGACACTGGGGCCGAGAGATAGAGAGGAGGAATGGGAATGGGAATGGGAACAGTAATGCAGTCCTACCAAATGAAGACGCCCTCCCTCCGTTTGTAGGCCCACAGAAGACAGGCGGAATCAAAATCCACGTCCCCCTCCTCTGGGATCCGGGGTCCGCCTACCTACGCACAAAGCTGCAAGGGCCACGTGTTAGTAGCCATGTGGCTCCAGCTGCAGGTGCAAAGCCTGCCCTTGCTCAGTCGGCGCTCGCAGCGCCGGCCGGTGGCCAAAGGTGCACTCGTAGGGGTGCGCTTGTGCACGAGAGTGCTGTGAGAGAGATTCTGAGTCCCATCCCCTTCCTCCGCGTCCCCCTCTCAACAAAAAATCGAGCGGGCCTCTGCTTGCACTGCGCCCACCTCGCGTTCTTCTCGAAGCACTGGGCGCCGGGCTCCTGGCAGCACCTGGGTGGAGGAGCCCGGAAACGCACAGGGGCACTGGCGGGGAGGAGGCGTGAGGAAGGAAAAGAGGGAAGGGAGGCAGAGAGCAAGTGAGGGAGCAAAAGAGGCAGGAAGGGAGGGATGGAGTTGGGCCGTCCTCCTCCTCTGGGATGCCGAGAAAACTCTCATGGGCACACACACACACACAACCCTCGTGGCCACCTCCTCATGCGACTCATCCCTTCTTCCTCGTCCTCCTCTTCGTCTTCCTTACCTCCCCTCTCCTCCTCCTCCTCCTCCTCCTCCTCCTCCTCCTCCTCCTCCTTCTCCTCCTCCTCCTCCTCATCCTCATCCTTTTGTGGCAACTCATGGGAGCTTCCATGTCATCTTGCTGGCTCTTGCGACTCGACAATAATGAACGCTAGTCGACGCTAGTCGACGTTCCTCATCGACGCGCTTAATCCGCGCGTTCTCACCAATTGCCAGACGCTAGCGCACACTGAAGACTGCATTTCGAGGACATCCAAGTATCCGATGAGTTGCTACAGGATCCTTCTACAAGTCCTCCTCCTCCTCCTCCCCCACATCCTCCACGACAGTTTCATGCTCCTCCTTACCGTAGAAGAGTGCGTGCACTCCCCTCCTTCTCCTCCTCCTCCTTCCTCGTCGTCCTCCTCCCCCTCCTCCTCCACCTCCTCCTCCTCCTCATCTTCCTCATCCTCCTCCTCCTCCTCCTCCTCCTCCTCCTCCTCCTCCTCCTCCCCTCCGCTCATTCTCCTCCTCCTCCTCCTCAGCCCTACTCTTCCTCCTCCGCCTTCCCCCTCCACCTCCACTCCTCCTCCCCCCACTCCCTCTCCTCCATGTAAGACGCCCCCATCCCACGGGGAAGAAGGCGGAGAGGGGAGGAGAGAGAAGGAGAAGGAGACAGTGGAGGGAATGAGGCGAAGCTCCTGGACGTACGACAGTCGTCGAAATGCCCGGCGCACTGCGTCAACTCCCGAAGCGGCTTCACCTCGTTGCAACTCCAGTTCGTGCGGAACTGCGGGGGATCGTCCTGGCGACAACGAGCATGGTATCGTCAAGATGATACTGACTAGAGATCTTGCAACTCGTGCTGGTTGTGCGAACCCCTGCCGTTCGAACGACCTTTCTTCTTACGCATACGTGCCTCATGCAAGATCTTCGGGCGATAAGGCGGCCTTGGGGGATGATGACCTTGCATTTCGATGTGCAATTCATCTTTGGTTTCCAGCTGCATTTCGAATTGCCCTTGAATGCTCAACTAAATACACTCGATGTGCATACTGGTTATAGCTGAATGTCCGTGTGTCTCCCACATGTCCGTTCGACTTACACGTCGATGTGCATTTCGTGTTTCGATGTGCATGTCGGTGCGCGTTGCGATGAGCAGTTCGGTGTTGTCGTTCGGGGTGCATTACGATTGCAATTGTAGTTGCACATCGACTCGCGATTCAATGTGCCATTCGATGTGCAATCCACGTTGCATGCCTCCTTGATCGTGTTGATATGCATGTCGGATCGCACTCGGACTGTCAGCTCAATGTCATTTCCATTTCGAGCCGCATCTCGATTGCATGTCGATTTGCACTCCCATGGTAATGTTAATCACGGTTCGCATGGTGCGTTTCGGTGTTTATGTGTATGACGATGTGCATGCCGGTGAAATTCAACTTTGATGTCCATCTGCATTTCGAACTGCGTGTCGATGCGCTCGCAATTGGAATCGCGTCTGAACTAGCGTATCCAACGAGACAACCACAGGACAACACACGCGACAACAACGGGACAACTCACGGGACTAAACCCGCGGGCTAACCTACGGGAGATGTACGGGACAACCCACAGGACACTCCCACGGGACAACCCATGGGACAGTCACAAGACCATCGCAGAAAAACCCACGGGACAAGCACGGGACAGCCAAGGAACAATCACGGGACAGCCAGCGGGACGACCCCGCGACCACCGCGAGACGGGAACAAGAACAAGGCTCCCGATTTCGCCCGAGCCTCGGCCGACACGTCGTCGCCCTCGCGCAGCTTCGCCTCGCCCGGACGCACGACATCGGACGCACAAGGACACACTGGTACTGTATGTCCTCATTGGAGGCGTGCGTCCGACCCGAAAATACAGTGCATCCATCTTTCAGTGCATCGTTTCCCGAGCGGCATGGCCAGAAAGCACCAGCCACGCAGCTTATGCTGTAAGATTTCTCGGCGCGCGCGTCGCCCCTGGGGGGGCCACGCACACATAGCATTAGTTCGGAACCAGAACGGGCCTCCCGGTTGGAGTACAGTC